ACACAAAGAAGCAGGAAAATAAAATCCATGTAAAGAAAAAAAAATCAATTAATGGAAACAGACCTAGTAATGACACAGATGATAGAATCAGTTTACAAGGACATTGGATGATAGTAACTTCCATATGCTCAGGAAGCTAGAAGAAAGTTTGAACATATTAACTAGAGACATAGACCATACAGGAACGACTGAAATTAAATTTCTAGAGCTGAGAACTCAAACCAAGACCTCAGACACTATGACCATATTTCTTTCACTGCCCCCACAATATTCTTCCTTGGATCCCGAGTTTGATCCCAGTAGCCTAATCCTTAGTACTTCCTTAATACTGAAACTCCCAGGTGAATAATTCCTTTGAGGGGTTTAGCAGCTAAAGACAACAGAGTTCCTGAAGGCCGCCACGTGGGCCCCTTCCCATCTCACTTTGACTGCCCCCTGGCCTGTCTCTGGCTCATGGAGGAGATGGCACCATCTTCCAGGTTCTGACACTCCACTCTAGCATAAAGGCTTCTCAGTCAAGTAGCTGCTAGCAGTCCTTCTGAGTTATAAGAAAGTTTACATTATCAGACCATCATTTTCCATCTCAATTTTCTATCTCACCTTGAAAACTCTATCGTTTGAAGAAGCATGAAATTTGTTTTCTTCGCCCAAAATAAAATCAAAATAGAAGTTCATACTTGTATTGCTCCCCACCCTTCCCAGCCAAGGCACTGCGTATGAAATCATGAACTGTATTCCTCCAGCACTTAAACAAAATGTACATGTTGTCCTTTTATGGAATTCAAAATATGCTTGTGAGAATTAAAGTATTTTTCCACCCAAGCTAAAAAAATCACCTTACTTGTCTGGGAAGTTTTATTAGGGCTAGAATCCCAAGAAATGTATATGCAAGCCAAGTGTTACTGTTCATCAGAAGCACTCCATATTTATCCAGTATCAATCCGGTGTAACTCTGTCAGTCAGTGTATCCACCTAACCAGTAGCAGACATATTCCCTTTATGGACTTTTTTTGTGCATGTGTTCCTAAATCTGCAGTAAATTAATTTAGAAAATATATTAGTACCAAAAACATAAATGTAGCCTTGCAACACAAATGTGTAGATAATTTCATGCTTGGAGCATTATAGCTCATTTTTAAAAAAACTTTACTTGACAATGAAGCTTTCAAAAATATTTTCAGCACTAGTTACTAAAGATATTTTAAAGTTTAACCTTAATACCAGTTATATAACCAGGGCCACTGGGTCATTGTAGCTCCATGAAGTAGCATCAGGCCATTTCACTACTGATCATCTTTTGGGCACTAGGTGATTTTTTTCAATAAATGTTAAAATAATATGCAAGAAGACCCAAATATCACATGTGGTGTGTTGTATCACCCACATGGAGGCATCACTTTAGTGAAGTGCAGCAACAGCTCTAAAAGACATAACAGTATCTGGAACAGAACAGAAAAAGGAAAGCCAAGTTGCTGGCAAGATCAGTGAAGCAGGGAGGTGCAGTCCCGGCTGCCATCCTGAGCTGGGTCGCAGACTCTACGCCAGGCCAGGGCAGTGCACACCCAGACAGCGCAGCCCAACTCTACGAGAGCAGATAATAACTTCATCCCAACACTTCTCTTTATTTTCCCACTACCTGCAACTCCTCAGTCATGGATTACTGTTGAATGTGGAATTTAATCAGGGAATGTCTAACAGAGGTACACCTCAAATATTTAGTGCAGTGTAAATACACTGGAGTGGGGGTCTGTGGCATCTTGCTGGGGCTTGAAGTCTGTTTTCTTAATTGTAAAATTAGGTGGTTAGCCTGGATCCTAAGTTGTAAATTAGCAGCCCTTAGAGCACATTTGGTCTGAAGAAGGGTTCTGTTTATTTCCACACAATGTGGCTTTTTTTTTTACTTGCATTAGTTGAAAACATTTCAAAATAAGATATTTCACATAAAATTTGAAATTTCCAACTTATCTTTAAAAATCAGCCTGTATCTCCCTCATCACAGTTGACACAATTAAGGTTCCCATCCCTGCCTCCTTTGAGAAAGGGAAAGGGTCCTCCATTCACCAGCATGCCTGCTTCACCCACCTCTGTTACTCTCAGCCCCTGTATAGTATTTAAATATGTGAACCCTGCAGCGTGTAATTTCTAAGGACCATTCCAGCAATAAAATGTTAAGAATCTCTGACTCAAGTTGTTTCAATAAAAGCAAAAGACTATAGAGAATAATAGTTCAACTACATGTAAGTTAAAATAGACTTTGCTTTTGGGTAAGCTGACAACCAAGACCCCATTTAGAATATAGTAATTGTGTATGTTTATAGGGACAAAGGGCATGCATATATATATTCCTGTATTTCTCTCAAGAAGAAAAGCAATAAATATGACCCATAAATTTCCTTCTATAGCAGAAATTTCTGTGACTTCCTGATCCATATTGAGATAAAGCTACTCTCCAAATCTAAATCGAAAGTCCATAGTTGCAGAATGACTTTTTATATAAAAGAACATCTTAATTTGTTGGTATAACAGGCATGTAACTTATCTAGAGTATGGTTTTAAGCTGATCATTGGCAGGTATGTAACTATGCCTACTGAAACAAACTGATTCCTAAACATATTTTCTCTGGATTAGAACCTCTTCATTTCAAGATATCCAAAATTATTAGCATATTATGTTATTCTCACAAAGTTCTAATGAACTTCACAAATCTGCCTGCTCTGAGTACAAAAATATTTAGCCTAATTTGTTTTTCCATTATTTTATATAGTAATAAAGTAATACCAAAAACATTATTACCAGAAACAACACAGTGTTATATAATTATTAGAAAGTGAATCTCATGAAATCATATTAAAGAACAACAATTACCACATGTTAAGTCAGATAATTCAAGGAAGAGACTGATATGAATACTAGGGGAGCTGCTGGCAAAGAGATTTTTTTCTCTGAATCCTGCATTTTGAAGGAAAATTTTGCCATTTAATTAGTTTAGGTATGATTCACCAACCAAAGGTCTATAGTGTGATATTTTTCCCCCTCCAGCTTAATCTTAAAATCGTCTGCACTTTAGATGTTCATACTTTTCACTTCTTTTAAAAAATGAATACTTCCTGGATCTTTTACATTGCTTTATGGTATTAATAACAAGTTGTATCACGATACTGCATTATACTGACAGAGCTCTAACGTCATTCCAGTCTGTTTCTTGGCCATGTGTAATAATGTGACAAATTACACATGTAAACAAGGTATAATTTTAAGGGATAATTTACTTAGTATTTGGTGGGGATATATGAATATATATTGAGAATATATAAAATGATAGTAATAATAGATAACATTTACTGAGTGTTTAATATATAGCACTCTTTTTTCCTCCATGTTTTATTTAACCCTCACATGAACAGTAAGTTTTTCTCCTGTTTTAAAAGACAAGGAGACTAAGGCTCAAAGAGGATGAGTAAATTAGCCAGGTACAAGATTAGTCAGAGGTGGACCCGGGATCTTAACTGATGCTTGTGGCTGCAAAGCTTCTGGTTTGTTTCCCATGATGCCTGCCAGCCACCAGACTCCACTAACATTAATTAATGTTCCCTTTTAAGATTCTAAGTGCTGAATATGTATCTCTTGATACATAGAATAGCTTTTCACTTCAGCCATACATTAAACTTGTTTTTATGGTATATAGTCTATTCATACTGAATGAGTATAATATTCTATCTTTTGAGGAAATTATTTTAAACGTCGAATCTTACAAATTCTTACAAGGGCAAGGTAGAGGCTTTATAATCTCATTCCCATTTGCCAGATCGAAGTCCAGAGGAGGTTTAATGATTTGCCTAAGATCTCAGTTTCAAGAGAGGCAAGGAAAAAGCCACTAAGTCCTCCACACCCTAGTTCCAGACTAGTGTTCTGTCTTTTTTCCCCCCCGCTAAATCCTGCAATCAACTGATTTCTACTCTTCAACTTCTGAAATTATGTTGCTTTCTTACTCACTCCTACTGGTTTTACATATTGAGATTCAGCATCAGCATTCACCATATCTTTTCACTCCTAATTCTGAGTGTTTCCATCTGATTGCTGATTTTTGTACTTTATGGGCTTTTTCTTTATTTCAGTTTTACCCCAATTATCCAGGAAAGGCTGCCTGCATCTTTTGAAAGCTCTGATGTTCTCAATGAAAAGACCTTCTGAATGGCCTTGTTTGTCTCCCATGGAGTTGCATATCGCAACTTCAAATGCCCCACTAAAATGTTACCCATTTGGCATCAGTATACAGAAAAGGCTGCATTCTGTGATAAGAAGTACAGTGGTGTTTTCCTAGTGAGAGAGTAGAGTTCTTAATGGGAAAAAGGGGAAGTATAATTTCCTCAGATTTTGCTGCTTTTCAAACACAATGCTGCTTTTCTTCTAGAACTAGTCTGTAAGAAATGTGTAAGGAAAATACCACAGGAACCAATAAATAATTAAAATTTTGGTCACAGAATTCTATTAATATTGGTCCTTTAGAAGCCCTTTTTTTCCAGAAATGGTTTTCTTCAGGTACAAAAACAACTACTCATTGCCCTTATGGATCAGAAGAGCAGCTGGGTAGAGGAGGCAAGTAACGGAGACTCAAACTAAGTCATTCAAACTCTTTGGTTGCCAAACATGGAGAGATTATCACTTGTAACTAGGTATATTTATCTCTTCTCACTTTTCTCTACTTGGTTTAATTCTCATGAGAGCCTTGATGATATTTAATGTGTTGCTCCACAGAGAAAAAAAGCTTAAATTAAGGTGAATGCAAAGTTGAATTTACAGTCAAATATTGTAAAAATCAGTTCAGACACCAATGACTCAGATTGACACAGCAGTTGTCTATGGCGTGATGCCACCAGAGGGCAGGGTTTGACTTCCGCACCTGCTGGCTGCCTCCCTCCTACTATAAGAGCCATCAGATCCCTTTAAGAGCTTATAATGAACCTAAGCTCAAATTCTCTCTTCCATTGTTCTTGTACAGAATCCTACAGTTCTGGAAAATGCTTAGAGAGGATCATTTTAGAATGATCTGACACAACAGCTATTTAGTCAACTCGCAATTTTAGAGCTCCTACTAAGTGAGTATTCAACGTGACCTTGGACAATTGAAGGCTATCTGACAGAATGTTTTCTTTTGAGGGATCTATAGTTTTTCTGGGAAGATAGGAATGTAATCTTTTTCTTTATTTCAGTTTTACTGCAATTATCCAGGAAAGGCTGCCTACACCTTTTGAAAGCTCTGATGTTCTCAATGAAACAAAAGCCATAAATAAAACATAATGTACAGTTAACTTATTCCATGAAAGATAAGAACTAGATTATCAAGAATTGAAAGGGAAGAAAAAAAAACTGGACTAGAAAGGTTTCTCGATAGCAGCACTACTCACATGTTAGGCGAGATAATTCTTTGTTGTTTGGGGTGCCTGTCCTGTGCCTTGCAATATGATCGGCAGTATCTTTGGCCCCTACCCACTCAATGCTAGTAACACCCTCTTTTCCCTCTCCCCCTGTTATGGGAACCAAAAAATGTCTACAAACATTGCCAGATGTCCCTGAAGGGCACAATTACCCCTGATTGAGAAGCGCTGAACCAGAGTATGAGGCCATGACTTTACCAAAGGGGAAAAAAAAACCTGAGCCTTGAGACTTCAGAATGTCAAAAATGTAAGGACCTACTCTCTAGGCCTCAGTTTCCTCATCTGAAGAGTGGGAATAATGGTGCCTGCCCTCATAGGCCCTGTATTAGTTTGCTAGGACTGCCATAACTAAATAACAACAGAAATTTCTTTTCTCACAGTTCTGGAGGCTAGAAGTTCAAGATCAAGGTGGCAGCAGGGTTGGTTTCTGGTGAGACCTTTCTTCCTCACTTGAAGACAGACAGCCATCTTCTCACTGTCTTCACATGGCTTTTGCTCTGTGCAAGCACATTACTGGTGTGTCTTCCTCTTAAAAGGACACCAATTATATTGGATTAAAGCCCCAAACTTATGACCTCATTTAACCACAATTACTTCTTTAAAGGCCCTATCTCCAAATATAGTCAAACTGGGGATTAAGGCTTCAACCTATGAATTTGGGGGCGGGGGTGGGGGTGACACAATTCAGTTCATATCAGGGCTCTCTTATAGAGATGAAAGCCATTAGCACAAAACTTGGGATATAGTAAGCATTCAATTAACCATAAACTATAAATGTTGTTATTGTTAATATTAAGCCACTATAAGTCATCCATGTGAATCAGATACCATCAGAAAGAGAGAATAGTATAAAACAATTATACATTAAGTAAGTTCACTTGAATATTTGTGTGTCACTTTGTGCTAAAGTTATGCAACTGAAAAATTCAAATTGACATTTTCCCCATTGACATAGCTAATTATTTCAAAGATGTTCTGTCTTCATTTATATGAAGGTCAAAGGCCAGTAGCTTCTGCATCCCCAGCATCTGATGAGTATTTAATGATCCAGAAATAAACTTTTAAGTGCCTCGGGGGATTTCTGTGTGTAAAGAAATTCTAGGTAAATATTTTTCCAAGAGGAGGCTTGAGAGTGATAATTCCCTTTCACCCTCTTAATTTGATTTATAAACTTCACCTATCTTACAGGAGATAAGAACAAAATTAAATTAGGAAGGAAAAAAAATAAACATTTTCAAACAGTCATGGTCTTTAGCTAGAACCAAGTAACTGGAGATTTTGAAATTGCAAAGGAACACGGGTCTTCTTCTGCCAAAAAGCTTGTTTATGAAAACTAAAGAGTATTAGATATTTCTACCATACTGGCTTATCATTTGAAATTTCTGCTGGCTCAAGTGAAACTGTGCTGTCCTATTTCCAGCTGTGGGGTTTCCTCCCTTACCACAATTGCTTTCCAATTGGAGGCTTGTAACTTTGATGACCAGGACAGAGTCAGCTTAGCTAGCTGGAAGAAGAAGAGGGGAGTTTTCATATCTCATGAGGAAAGGGGAAGCACTAAAAGGGTTGTTGTTTCAGCAAGTTCGGGAAGAGCGGAGTCAACGCTGACAGTTGCTGGCTTGAACAGTTTTATTGTTGGTAATAAAAACAGAAATCGCTTTGAAAGTGAAGGTGAGAAAAGACAGAAACTGCTACGGTTAGGTTAAAAACAACAGGAGACGGTGGTCTTGGTGGGGCACAGAATGTTTGAAAATATGCACCTTGTCCTTAAAGAGTTGCTGCTGTATGAGTAATGTGCCACTTCACGACATAGCTCTTGTATGCAGAAATGCTGTATTTCCACTTGACAAACCAAGGGATGCGTTTATTTTACAATCAGAAGAGAAACAAACAGTCCAAGGCAAAGTGGTACATGACCTTATGCAGCTCTCTTGGAAAGAGTTCATTTTTCCCTCCTGCTCAGACCGCACACAAATACTGGGAATATATTTTAATTTCAAATCTGATGTGTGACATCTGGTAACTCATTTATTGCTAATGAAGTTTTCACAGGAAGCTGCAGTCACCGGTATCTCATCGTATTTTTCAGTTGGCAAAGTGTTGTTTACTTTTTATTGGCTCCGCATCGGTGCCTGTTATCACAGGCTGATTAATTAGAAAACACAAATAGCCCCACAGAGAAAATGAATGGAGAGGCAGAATGGAGGGATAAATAAACAATGGTAGATAGAATGGTCTAAACTTTGTATTATAATAGATAGTATAATATCATTGTAATTTATGTTTTAAAATTATGTAGGTATTCAAGACAATGATCAGAGCTGGCAAAACTGTCTGGTCAAGTAGTTTATCAGCAGTGCTTTCAGCCTCCCTCTCTGAGCCTTTCCACCTTTTTCCGGTACTTTAGCTTCTTCTACTTCCAGTATCACGTACAACTTCCCAAGGGAAAATTAGTCATTTACACCATAGTGTGACTTAATAACACTAACAAAAGTCTCAAAGTTACAGCATCTCATAGCATCTCCACGTACATGATCTCATTTGATACTTGCAACAATATTGTGAGTCAGACTGCACAGATTTTTTAACTTCATCATTACCATGAATTTCACTGTCATTATTTTCCACATGAATAAATAAAATGAGTCATCACAGGTTAAGTAAAAGCTAATTGTGCATAAGAGGTAAACAGTATATTTGATTTAGATCTTTCGGTTCCCAGCACCATGCTCTTTCACTACCTTAACTCTGGCTCTCGCCTGAGTCAGTGTATCTCCTCCCGCAGGTAGATCTTGGTTCAAGTGTGGATACAGAAGTGGGTATCATCCACTCCACCCCAGTTAAAGACATTTCAGACATCTATGAGTAGGTGAAAGGGGTATTTGACTAGATGACATCCTGTCAGGCTCCCCTTAACTATGCAGTCCTGGAAGTTTAAAAGGAATAAACAGTGTAATGAGTAATTCTCAAGCTGTGTTTAGTATTTGTCCTACTTTCTTCAGGTTTTAATGCCTCAGAAGGGCCAAATGAAAACATTTTAGCTGATGGCACTTCTGCTATGTGTTGGATTTGGTTTTGCCTATGAATCATGATAAGCACAGAGTGCAAAAGCTAGAGTTGCAAATTAAGATGCCAATAGGGCAGTGGGTTTTTAAACATTAGGGTGCATCAGAATCACCTCAAGGCTCATTAAACTATGGCTTGTTGGACCCCACTCCCATAGTTTCTGATTTCGTACGTCTGTGTAGAGCCTAACATTTGCAGTCCAGAGGAATTCCCAGGTGATGGTGATGCTGCTATTCCAGAGACCACATTTTCAGAACCACTGCCAGAAGGGCCAGGTGGGTAACTTGAGTGAGGGATGCTGCACTGTCCAGCACAGTGGCCAGCCTCTGTTGACTGAGCATTTGAAGCATGGCTAGTTTCAACGAAGATATGCTGGAAACATTAACTAAACTCTGGATTTAGAAGACAGTGCAAAAAAATGTAAAATATCTCAATAATTTTTATACTGATTACAGGTTGAAGTGACAGTATTTTGGATATACTCGGTTAAATATATTAGCAAAATTAATTTTATATGTTCCTTTTTATTTTTTAGTATGGCTACTAGAAAATTTTTAAATTACATATGTGGCTCACGTTATATTTCTGTTGAACAACACTGACCTAAAGAATCAGAAAGTAAAGTATGGTGGGGATTAGTGAACCACAGAGGATTCAAATCTCAAAAGCTAGAAACACTTTGGGGACCAAAGAAAATAGATCTTTCAGTCAGATTTAGCCTGAGGGCCCCACTTCATACCCAAATATTGTTTCTACAACACTGCTACAATATAATTGTAGAAGCTATGCAATATCTATCATTTTACCGTTCTTTCAGCATTAATCAAGTACCTTTTTACACTTCTTGAAATAAAAGCATTGGGTTATAATAATGAAAAAATATTTCTGCTGAATTTCTGAATGAAAAAAGTCCATTAATCTTGTGAAGTTCTGAGCTTTCGTTCATTAAATTCATTTCACCTATCCTTACATTAAAGGAAGGTTATATTTTCAAAGTGCTTTCATATCTTTCAAAGAGCTTACTTTTTAACTTTTAACAATCTATGAAACAGAGGTGAAAACAGATGTTGGTATTCCCATTCTAAATATTTTGTAATATTTAAGGGATAACAAAGTAAAACATTAAATAACCTACGTACGATTTCAGTTGTAAAACAAGCCCTTGGACGGGGCTCATGTCCAGTGCTTTCTCAGCCAAATCCTTCTGCTGTCTCTCCATTTTTACAGCATTTGAATGTAAAAAATTAAAAGTAGCATACAAAATTGTATTCAAAAAAAAAGTTAACTCTGTGATAAAATCAAATGAACATTACCCTTACAGAAACATTTTCTTAACACAAAGTCCATTTCACTCTTCAAACCACTGAATAATATAATATTTTGAAGTGTTATACTAAATAGTATATTACTGTGAGGTTCCTTTATAATACTCTGCCCTCACCTCTATGTTTTTATCTGGGAAACTGAACCATGTTAAGTTTTTGCTAAACTTTAAAAAGTTGTATTTTCCCTCCAAAGGATCTGAGATAGGTTTGTTTTGAGTAAGTTATTTTAACAATAACATATTGCGCCACCTTTCTCATAGGATGACATACTCTACGGCTCCCTAAGCCACAGGGCACGCTTGTAATTTTGATTTGCAGCCATGAACCAATCTGTCTTTACCCTTTCACCTGGACTGCCAGTGAATAAGACAGGTGATGTCTGAGAGGCTCACATTCTTTGACCATGAATGGAGTGAATACAGCTAGTCTAAATAGGGTCCAAATCTATAACCCTGACCTCATCAACCCAGGGTCACAACCAGCTATCCAAATGTTCTGCCAGGGAAACAGTTCTTTGGGGTAAATAGTTAATCTGAAAAATGGGGGAGGGGACCCACTGTTACTATAACATAATAATAAATAGAATTTCTTTATTCATCTTTAGAAAAAGGTAAAATTCTTTCCATTTTTAACAAAAATGTCCTTGTATTTAGTTATAGAATATTATTAAATTGTTGTGACACTCATAATATCTGTATCAATAGATAGATAATTGGCTGATTTAATGATTTATCAGGTAATTTCTACTTGTCAAGCCATTATTGCCTTTGTCTTCAAGCGATGTATAGCTATTCAGAAGGAAGATTATGAAATTTCAGTGTTTCAGGAGATTTCTTTAAACATGTACCCCATCTCCCTGAGGGTAGAGAGTTCTACAGAAGCTAAGTGATTGGTTCAAGATCACCTCGCAAGGTAGTGGAAAAACCAAAATTAGAACCCAAGTCTCCTTCTACATTGTGGGGGACCAACCTGTAAACTATAATTCAAAGAATATTCGCACTACAATCAGGGCATTGGGCAGTTTGGGGAAACATATACAATATACTGAATATTTAATCTTTCTAGTTTTAAGCTGAAACGAACACATACAAATTATATAATATTACAACTTCTTAAGGGTGACTTAATGAATTAATGAATGGTTAGTAATGAATTAATTAATGCTTCCTCTCCTTTCTAATAACTTTCCTCATATTCCTTAGGAATTTGAAATGAGATAAGCAGTTTCAACTGCTGATTTAAAGTCTCAAAGAAGCAAGTGTGGAATGGCTTCACATGTGAAGTCTGGGGTTCTGCTCACAAGTTGAATAAAGCAGCTTTTGTTGACTGAGGTGCCCTTCTTCATCTGATGAAAAAGAAAAGCTTGTAAACAGTCTCCAAAAGCCATAATATTAAAAATGATGTGTCACCTCCTTGATGGCTGAGATACTGATCTTCTGAATTGTGGTTATGATTTCTGTGGGGAAATTCTACAAGCCCATACATACATGTGAGGAAACTGGGAGAATTAAAGGACAGGGGCTCACTTACGTACAAGCTTTCCTCCAGGTTAGATGTTACTGTCCTTTTCTCCTAGTCTCTAGAGCACTCCTCTTTCTAGGCTCACTAGAAAACCTTCCATGGCCTTCTATATTTAACATAAGAAGCATATTTTCTAACATCGGTATGTCAAAGAAAAATTATTAAGCACCTAATTAGATTTAATCACATATCTTTCATCCCTATTTTTTCTTTTTGAAATTAAAAAAAAATCATACAACAGAAACAGCCAAGAGTTTAGGACAGACAAGAGCTGGAGGAAGCATGACAGGAATGAGAGTTGTCTGGGAAGATAGGGATATTCATCACTTAAACTATAATTTATGATAAACAGGAGCTTCTTGAGGGAAGAGAAATTTAATTGCAGTTTAGTGTTGCATTATTAGATATTAAAGTACTGAATAACTTCCAAGAAGCAAATATTTAGGATTAACATTTTATTTTTCTTGAAATGTATACTCTAACTTGGAAGGAACTTCTGAATTTCCTTTCATAAAGTTGAGTTCTTTACATGCTTGGGCTATTCTGGATAAAGTAAACGGGAGGACTGGTTGAGGGTGACAAAACATTTACCCACCATCATCACAGTTTGTTACACTTGATATGAGTAGAAATAAGAAAGCAGCTTGCACTGTTTTCGTTTCTTGCAAGGGCAGGCCATGGCGGATGGTACTGACTTGAGAAGAGGGCAAGAAACCACTACTTACCACTTAGACATCTCATGCTCCTCATTAAGTTTGAGGAGATCGAATCTTAAGTACTTAGTATAGCATTAATAATTTTAATAAAATACTTTTTGTATTAAAAGAAAGGTTCACCTAGGAATTGCAGAGGCAAACAAAATCATTTCCAAGGAAAGTTAACATAGGGAGGTTAGGCTGGGATTGCCAACCAAGAGCATGGCATTTGTCCTCTGCATCTGACTTGAGTGTAATTCTGGTTACTTGCCTTATGATGCTCTCAGCCATGCTCCCTTCTTCATGGCTGCCAGGATTACCAGCAGGGAGGAGAGTGCAGCCCACAAAGGCCTGGATGCTTCATCATAGGGCATGATGAAGGAAAGTGGGGGCAAGAAAAGGGACAAGACTATAGTCCAAAGCTTACTGGATCCAAGCAACTTAACTACTATCACCAAATAATGTGTAGGGAAACTTCCAGTCAAGAGAAAGACAATGGACTAAGCAATCATGGACATTACCCTTTTTCTCTAAATACATAAAATATCACATTACAGCTCTGAATAAGAATTGAGACTACAAGGGCCAGAGAAAAACCAACACCAACTGAGATAAAGTTCTAATGACTTTATCAGGATGGAAGTCAAGACCATAAGACTCATGTACTGAAGGCAATTGAAACGGGGTTTGCTGGCTAAAACCAGAAACTAGAAAATTATTGCCCATTGTGACCAAAGATTAAGCTAATTTCTGTAGACCAGAAAAATGTGAGAATGGGTAGAGGGCCTATTCTACAGTATCTGCAATGTATGGGGTTGGAAATTAGGCTGAGAACTGGCATTATAAAACTTTTCCCAATCAAGTGAGTGTTGTATCCCCAAGCAGAAATTTCACCGGCCACCACCATCCAGATGCTCAGGCCTCCCAAAGAAGTTAATTCTCACTAGAGATGAACTCACAGCTAAAGATTACAAAACCTACAATGAAGACAAATGCCAAGAAAGAGTGTCTATAGATGAAACAAACAGAATTTATACCTGAAGAACTACAAGTAGTAGAGCAACTGGATAGGGGCTCTTAACATACAGATGTTCAAAACGTTTAAGGAGATAAGGGTAGAAATAGACCCCATAAAATAAGAACAGAAGGTTAAGGAACAAGAGCAAGTGGATCTGAAAGAGAAATAAGTAGAAACCCTAAAACTTTTAGTGCCAACTTCTATGAGTCAATGAATTCACAAATGGATACTGAGTTTCTCCCTGTAGAATGCCTCATTCATTACTGGGCATAAACAATTGCATTCTAACGTCTAAATTATAAGATAGGAGCAATAAAGAGAATGACTTCTGAACAGGACAGTTCATTGAGCTGTCTAGCACTACAAGCAAATAACTTACAAACACTTGCGTACTCTTTCTGATATTTAAGATACCCTGATAGGTTATCCTAAAATATAATTACTTGGTCTTTTAGTTGTCTATTATCATAGGAAGCTATGGGGTACTTTTTTTCTTTAGATTGTAAACTCATTAAAAAAGGAGTTTGTGATGAACAATTTAATTAGATTGGTTTTGGCTCGTCTAAAAGCTTAAGAAGGTATTAATATTCTAATCAAAAGTCTTGGGGAAATATTCTTAGGAAAGAGAAAGAAAGAAAGAGAGAAAGAAAGAGAGAAAATAGAAAAAAAAAGAAAGAGAGAGAGAAAGAAGAAAGAAAGAGAGATAAAGAAGAAAGAAAGAAAGAAAGAAAGAAAGAAAGAAAGAAAGAAAGAAAGAAAGAAAGAAAGAAAGAAAGAAAGAGAGAGAGAGAGAAAGGGAGAAAGGGAGAAAGGGAGAAAGAGAAAGAGAGAAAGAAAGAAAGAAAAAGAAAGAAAGGGAGAAAGAGAGAAAGAGAAAGAAAGAAAGAAAGAAAGGGAGAAAGAGAGAAAGAGAAAGAGAGAAAGAAAGAAAGAAAAAGAAAGAAAGAAAGAAAGAAAGAAAGAAAGAGAGAGAAAGGAAGGAGGGAGGGAGGGAGGGAGGAAGGAAGGAAAATCTTCTTTCTTAGGTTTGTTTTTAAGAACCAGGGGCGCTGTCAAGGAATGCAAAGTAACTCCTACTAAAACAAGCAGTAGATAAATGTGGTGTGGCCACCATAAGCCAATCTTGTGTTTGTAGCAGACTGAAAGTTCCCACCTGACTCACGGCAAATTTATTCAGCTGCTTAAGATTATTTTTTACTCATACTTTGAAAGAACAACAGCTTGGTATTTTTAGCCTTTTAATGGCAAGAGAAAGTGCTTACCAACGATAAACTTTTTTTTTTTAATCTCTCATGGTTTTTTCACCCATGGCCAAATCAGCACTTGCCTAACATTCAAAAAATTATAGTAAAGATTCAAATAAAACACATTTATTAAACACTTGCTATTTGAAAGATAGGCCCAGTGCTTTCCAGTTATCTCACTTAATTTCCACAACAATTAAGTGCAATAAGAATCATTGCTCCCACTTCTTACAGATGGGGAAACTGAGGCATATGTTCAGAGAAAGGGGGTGAATTATCTAGAGCCACACAGATTTGTAAGTGGCAAAGGAAGATTCCATTAGAAGCACTTTGACTCCAAATTCCATCTTTTTTCTCCCAAGAGGAAATGGTGTTGTGGAATTCACGTAAACCACAGAGCCTGAGTAAAAGTGATGGCGAGACCCAGAAATAGAGAGAGGTGGGTCCTCCTCCATATCCTACCTGCCCATAACCCTACTGGGAGAAGCAGCAGGATGAAACGAAAAGCAGCTGCATCCTGGGACTCACAGTTTTGGTGTCCTAGTAGATCACATCTCTCTCTTTCAGCTTCTCACCAAAATAGCAGCCTTTCAAGCTTCAAAGAGAAAAGCAGCCTACTCTTTCCCACTTCTTTATCATCAATCTAAGGCGATGCCAATCATAAAGAGTTCCATTTTCTCTCTTCTCAAGAACCAAGTTTCTCTAAGAAAGCCTATGAGTGACAACAGTGCAGACCAGTACTGCCTGTGTCGCTCTCCCATCCAGCACACCCCTGTCCAGAAGGTTGCGCACTATCTGTAAATTTACAAGAGCAGTTGCCCATAGATGAAGCTGCAGGCACCTAGAAGAAGAGGGAAGTTCAAGTGATGACACTATCTACTCCACCTTAGCTGGCCAAATGGTTGCCTGGAAGTTGTAGCCACTCTGTTTCCCATACATCCTCTACAGTCCAAGTACCATGTCTAGGAAACGTCCCTGATCACTCCTGGACATCCCCCCACCAAGCTGGGTCAGTGATAAATCCAGAACATTCCACATGCCTCTGGTATGGTATGGTATGGTATGGTATGGTATGGTATGGTATTCACCACGCTGGAGACAATGCTGTCTTTAAGGCTTCTGTTCCCCTAGCAAGACTCAAATGGCTCAAAGGTGGAGGACTGTGACTTTATTCACTTGCACTGAAGACCCCAACATACAGTAGGTGTTCAGTGAATATGGGATGAATGGATGACTGCCTGCTGAATGCACTGTTTGCATTTCTGCTTCCTTGTGCTTGCTCCTCTATTTTCATCACCTAAAATTCCTCTCCCCTCTCTCCTTGCTAGGTAGGAATTCTTGGTCATTACTTATACAAACATTTATGAAAAACTTTCTTCCAATTAGTATATTCAATGCTATGCCCAGAGTTTCTCAAGTAATATATTTGTTAAAATAATAGATGCTTCACTCAGAGTTCCAGAGCTGTTCCTCTAGTTGTCCAGAGCAACCTCTTACGTATTAAATATTAGTCATTATGAATCAATGGAAACAAAACGAGGCTGACCTTGGAATGTGAAGGAATCAGAGTCCAAAACTATGTTTACAAATTGGTCCTTTCAAATGTAAATTTTCCACAGAAATTCTTTTATAAATGCCGGTTACACTTCCAGCCTTGTCAATAAAATTTTATTCCCTCTAGACACAAAATTAATGAAACCACTGTGAGTTGTGTGCCCTCAAAGTAAGGTCAAGAGAGGAAAGAGGAAAGAGAGGAGAATTTCCTGCCTGCTCTCGGCCATCCAAGCTCAAGGCACCCAAGGGATCCTAATACATCCAGTTTATTCCTTCCTCACTTTAGTGCCTTGTGCCTATGCTGCCGCAAATGTTCAACTCTGCTCTAGTTTTCAGTTACGGAGTTCAACCCAGGCCACTTTCAATCTTTGAGATTCTTTACCCTTGACATTTCCAATTTTTTTCCTAGGCAAAATCCAACTTACTTCAACTAAATGTTAGAAGGAGAGCAAATAAGTAAAGTAATCCACACTAAGTTGTAAATGCCTGCTAGCCCATGAACTTTTTATGAAGCATTTTGTTTTTAATAGAGAAAATTTGTTTACCTAAATGAATTTATACCCCTAAGTTGGCATAATTTCAGTAACTATGATTAAAAAAAAAACTGAAAAATCAGGAAAGTGTAGAGAAATCCTTCTAGGTGAGAAAGAAATAGGTCAAACCTCCCTGAGAGTCTAGCCCTAGTTTCTGTTAAATTATTCCTTCTTTCCATCTTCTGTTTGGTAAACTACAGATTTCTAGAAGTGCCAAGGGTTTTCTGGTCAGTTTGGTTTGGTTGGGGGTGGGTTTGGGTTTGGGTTTTGGCTAATTACCCAAGGTTGGGCCCAGGCTGACATTGTTTTCTGTCAGATTCTTAAGGGAGTCTTATCTTGATTTCATTTGCCCCTAGAAAGTAATCTCAATACTCTCTGCTTATAGCTTTGTTATATACTGTTCACTCATTCATTTGTCCACTCACTCTCTTATTCATCAGACATTTATCATCTGCCTCCTGGAATGTGCCAGGGCCTACACTAGTAAACAAGATGACTTGAAACAGGCCTTACCTCAAGCAGCTGACACACCAGTGGAAAAGACAGATATGTCAACAGACCATTGTAATATATAGGTCAAAACCTACACCCAGAGTGCCAAGGCAGCTCAGAAAATGGAACAGACAAGTCAGGAAGGCTCCACAGAGGATGTGACATTTGCCTGTTTGTGGATGCTAATGCTTCCATGAAAGAAAAGGGAAGAAAGGGGTTTCAATTATATAGTTCAGAGTACAAAAGGAGAAGATAATGAGGACATAGAGCCAAAAACTTGGGTAGGGAGAATAACTGCCTCCTTCCGAGAGGCAAAGAGGCCACATATGAACCCCTTTTTCCCAGTGTTGTCTCTTAAAACCTGGCTACTTACATCTCTTCCCTTTCCTAGCACCACTTTGCACGAAGATGGACACCGTCTTAGGCACACATGTTCATCCAGCTCTCCCGGATGCCAAGCACAGCTATCCTGGGCAGACTAGTAGTTCTATTCCTGGTCTTCTTCTTGCCCAGGACACTTTGCTAAAAGGGGGATGCACAACCTTGCTCATCTAGGGACCTGCTCCTGGCGGAGCAATAGGATCTTTACCCAGCATCACTACTCTTCATAGCCGACCTCGCCTAGACCCAGTGCTGGCCATCACCTCAGAGCAAGTCTGTGCCACAACCTGCCATGTTACCCTCACAGCATCTTCAGCCTCCCTCCCAAGGATTTTCTAATGGACTCTTGTCTAGGGAAGAATATGTGGCTTTCTAAATCACATAAACGAATAGCTTGATTGCTGATTATGTAATTATTGGAGCAAATATTTGCAGAAGTCAGAGCTCATTCCTGAGCATCTGATTGTTCCTAAAATTCTAAAGAACTGCTGCTGTCTTGAGTTCCCCAAAATACATGTGTTATTGATAATCCTGGCCTAATCCATTCACTTGACATCCTTGTTAGACAAACGGTCAGTCTCAGAGTTAACTCCAGAAATGGTCTGTACGCACAGAAGTTAGGAGATTCTGGCCCTTTTGCTAGACTGAGTTAGAACTTAAAGAATAAGTGGTGACTGCCAGTAGTGACCTGGAAAACCATGTAGAGAGTGCTGTTCCCCAAAGTCTTGAGCCCACCCTATTTTTCCCTCTTAAATCAATTCCCACAACGACCAATTCCTCAGTAACCTAGAGGCAGCTATTCAAATCACTTAAGGGAGGATGCTAATAATTTTTATACCCAAGACTGTGAGATAAAAGAAGTGGCTTAAAGAATAAGATATGGATATGTCTCTCTTCTGAGATGAAAGACTAATTAGCCTTGCTTATCTCAGGAAAAAACTCAAGTCTTTCTGAATAACTAATTTAATTCAGTGGTATTCTCTGAGATTTAGATTATGTTTTTTAATCAATTTGGAAGTTAGGCTTTACTTCTAGAAAAAATGCAAAGGACCTAGATAAGTTTATTCACATAGGACCCCACTTCTATTTGTCGGCAGGATATTTATCACTTCTTAGAAAAGCAATATGTTCCAAAACTTAATTGAAATGTGCAATCTTAGATTTTACCAGTTCAGTTTTTCTCCAGAAAATGTGGTCTAATTTTTTTTCCTAAGACTAAAGTTGAGTTACTGTATTATGATTGAGAAACGAAACCATTTGTTTACATCTGGAATTTAATTTTTTTTGTCTTTTCATTTTTATTTTCTTTAGGTGCATTTGGCAAAGTGACTGAAACTAATTAACCCAGGAGATCAAAATGATCCTCAACTCTTCCACTGAAGATGGTATTAAAAGAATCCAAGATGACTGTCCCAAAGCTGGAAGGCACAATTACATATTTATCATGATTCCTACTTTATACAGTATTATCTTTGTGGTGGGAATATTTGGAAACAGCTTGGTGGTGATTGTCATTTACTTTTACATGAAACTGAAGACTGTGGCCAGTGTTTTTCTTTTGAATTTAGCACTGGCTGACTTATGCTTTCTACTGACTTTGCCACTATGGGCTGTCTACACTGCTATGGAATACCGCTGGCCTTTTGGCAATTACCTGTGTAAGATAGCTTCAGCCAGTGTCAGTTTCAACCTGTATGCCAGTGTGTTTCTACTCACATGTCTAAGCATTGATCGCTACCTGGCGATTGTTCACCCAATGAAGTCCCGCCTTCGGCGCACAATGCTTGTGGCCAAAGTCACCTGTATCATTATTTGGCTGCTGGCTGGCTTGGCCAGTTTGCCAACCATAATCCACAGAAATGTATTTTTCATCGAGAATACCAATATCACAGTTTGTGCTTTCCATTATGAATCCCAAAATTCAACCCTCCCTGTAGGGCTGGGCCTAACCAAGAATATACTGGGTTTCTTGTTTCCTTTTCTGATCATCCTTACAAGTTATACTCTTATTTGGAAGACCCTAAAGAAGGCTTATGAAGTTCAGAAGAACAAACCAAGAAATGATGATATTTTCAAGATAATTATGGCAATTGTGCTGTTCTTTTTCTTTTCCTGGGTTCCCCACCAAATATTCACTTTTCTGGATGTGCTGATTCAGCTGGGCGTCATACAAGACTGCAGAATCGCAGATGTTGTCGACACCGCCATGCCCATCACTATTTGCTTAGCTTATTTTAACAATTGCCTGAATCCTCTCTTTTATGGCTTTCTGGGGAAAAAATTTAAGAAATATTTTCTCCAGCTTCTCAAATACATTCCGCCAAAGGCCAAATCCCACTCAAGCCTGTCAACAAAGATGAGCACGCTTTCCTACCGCCCCTCAGAAAATGGAAGCTCATCCACCAAGAAGCCTGCCCCGTGCATTGAGGTTGAATGATCCACCCCGAAACCTGTCTGTGAAGTCATCTTGTGAAAGAAGGAGCAAGAGAAACATTCCTCTACAACCTTTCAGTACCAAAACATGGGCTACTTTCCAGAATTTAAGAAGAAAATGGATTGTGTGGACTGAACTGACTTTTCTAAAGCTCTGAACAAAAGCTTTTCTTTCCCTTTGCAACTAAACAAAGCAAAGCCACATTTTGCATTAGATAGAGGATGTTTGCTCAAAGAACGATGTCAGAAACTGAATAAATGTGTTGATTTGGAGAATTTTCCTAGTAGAAATGCCATCCCCCTCAGTCTGCTCTTGTTCTGTTATTCTTGATTTCCATATAAAGGTACTTGGAATATGTTAAACCTTGAGAGGAGCAACAGGAGATTAGAGCTCAAGATCGCTCTGCCCACCTTCCAAAGGGCAGTAAAGCTTTTCTGCCTATTTTGCTATTAGCAACTGTGAGCCACCTGTACCTGCTACTGCACATTTTGTGCAAAGACTTGCTAAGCAGTAGTTGTCAGGTTTCAGAAACTTGTGAAATTCAACAAGTGTCTTCTAGATTCACACTGCCAAAACATGCCAGCTAAATGATCTATTTGTTTAATGACATTACTGAAGTCACGTATAAAAATTAAAATACTTGTGAAGGTGTTAATCTGGTCCCAGGTAGTAGTGTCTTCCTAGTCACATGAGTTTTATTTTGTATCTGAGAAGTATATATATTTTGTGGTAAAAAGATTATATATCATAAAGTATGTCTTATTGTTTTAAAAAGTACATATTCTACCTATATATGTAAATGTATATGTACATCTCTAAACTGTTGTTACTTTATTGAAATCTGGCAAAGTTACATTCACATTAAAATAACGTTATTATAATGCATTTTAGCTTCATTACTTAAATAGATGCTGATTTATCTTTAAAACAACTGTGAACAAAAATAAACATATTTCTATTTAAATTTTGATACAAATGATAGCTTAATACTGTTGGTTATAGGTTTCATATCCTGCCATTGAAAACATAAGGAACACATTTTGTTCCACCGCACAACATGGAATAAATACATCATTCTGAATTTTCCAAAGTTTTTCATGCAACAAAGAAAAATTTCATTCCTTATAACATTAAAATAATACATTATTTTACATAAAAATTTTAATAATAGGATTTTTCTAATGGCATATATGATCATTGTAGGAAATATAGACTATATAGGGAAGCATTTTTTAGAGTCATATTTAGTTCTCCTGCTCAAAAACCAGCATTTTTAACATTTGGGTGCATTTTCTTCCACTTTTCTTTTATTCATTATACACACTTACATGTATAAATCATGATATTGGAGTCACAATGTGTATAGTACTTTGTATACAAAGTTTTCACTTAACATCATAGCATAGTAGTTTGCTACACCATTAAATGTTTTTCTAAAACATTTTAATAATTGCATAACATTGCAAAATACAAACACATCATGATACACTTAGCTAGTATCCAGATTGGAATATTTAGCTTTTTTTCTGATTTTTTAAGCATCATAAATTGTACTGTACTGTGCATGAACATTCAAGTACATGAATCTGATAAATCCCTCAGGATACACTCCCCAATGGTACAACTGAGTATACAGATATGAACATTTTTAATATTCTTAACACTTATTGCCAAATACTCTCCAGAAAACTTAAAATTTACCATACTACCAACTATGTATGACCGTATCTCACCACAGCCTCAGCAGCATGGAATATTTACTAGATTTAAGCAGAGAAGGAAATTTTACTGTAAGGATCCAGGTGCCACATGCAAGAGCAGGGATGCAACTGCACTGAGGAAAGAACTGCAGTGTTTCTGCTCCCCTTGACAGCTGCCTCATGCTAGAGGCTTTTGCTGCTTTGGAGTCCACACAGAGCAGGTGGAGGCACTCATCTGAATCAATAAACAGTGGCCAAGGCTTGGGGTGATGCATGAAGAGCTGATGGGAGGAGTGGGGAGGGAGGGGTATGTTCAGATAGGCCTTGGTGGGCTGGGCAGAATCTCCACAAAGCAGCCTGTGACGTTAACATTCCCAAGGAGAGTTATTTTGTGAATAGATGTGGTCACATATGCCTCATTTGCCTTTTATATTGTTTTTAACTTCACTGATAGAATGCCAGCCTATATCTCCAAAGATCCTTTACTATTTTCACAGAGAATCACTTCTAAAAAAATAAGTTCTAGATCATCTCAAGTTATAGTGTAAACTCACCCTATTAGAAATCCCTCCGAGGCAACTGTATAACAGTTTATTTTTTATTCCATAGTCATCTTAAGTCAAGAGATTACACGTACTCCAAACTCGGCAAAATATTTGATAAGTTACAGTTGATAAGATTTCCAGGAGATAATTAGATATCTTGTGTATTTATTACATCTTGTGTATTTATTAACTGATGTGAATAACAAGTTTCAAGGCTTGTTTTTTAATTTCATTAAATTATACTGTGATTTTTCCCCATCACACTTGTGAAATAAGATATTAATAAGTTAATGATTAATCTTGCTTTTTCAGTGAGGCCAACTTAATATTGAAGTTGAAACTGCTTACCAAATGTTAGGATGGTATGTCATGATTTAGCCTTCATGAACATAGTTAGATGTTAGGTGGATTCTTTATTTTTTGGAATATTTTTTAAATTTATGCAGAAAGGAATATTTACCATGAGGTTTTAGGTGTCTAACAGAATTCAAAGGCTGTATGTATGTATATATATTCTGATTTACATTCCAATTCTTGTTTCCCCCATGAAAGTCACCTTTTCAGTCAATAATTCATTAATTCATGGATTCTAAAAATTTTGTGTTGTTTAACTATTCTGTGCTGGAGGACTACAGCTATGTAACAGTTAGCTTAAAATGCACAGTAAATGTCTCAAACAGCTGCTGTGGGGAGTATTAAAGAGAGTCAGGTAAGAAGTAGCTTGATTGCCAATCCATGGAAAGGCTTGCAAAGGTTTGATGCCACAGATTTTCATTTTCATAACTCTGTATACTGGGCCAATTTTCTTCCAACAATATGTGCCAACGTGGGGGACCAAAGAAGAGAAAATAGATTCAGACAGGTCACAAAAATGAAGTGAAGTGAGTGAAGGAAAGGTGTGGATTGGAATTTTGAATACCGGTATGAAGGGTGGTTTCCCTGAGAGCTGCGAAGAAAGTAACACAGGAGTAGATGAGATACAGGAAAGACTAAGGAGTGGCCGAGGCCTGGAGGCAGCCATGCCCTGCCTCAAAGGTCAGTGTGAAACCCTCCTGGAGAGCTGCATGCAGAGGCTTAGGGCCCCAAGGCCATATCGGATCCACTGGACCCAGACCAACTAGAGGAAGAAGGAACTTAAATATCAGGGAGGGAAGCTAGTTATAAACAGTAGACAGTAGTATGGGGCAAAACTCAACAGTATGATTTTTATATATTTCAGGCTGCATTTTGGGAAAGAAAAAGTCCTCTGAAGAACCATCCATACTGGAGGTTTTGATGAGACCAAAGAATAAATATAAACAGAATAAGGAAATTGAAGAGGTAGAATACTGGAGCTGATGCTCAGAGAGTCATTTTCCAAATTTAAAAATCTGATTGAATCAGTTAAAATATGACACCTGTCTGATGTATTTGTATGGTGGACACTTGTGGACCTATCTGCACAGTGTCCTTTCTCCCTTATCATGAGAATTTCCCAACTAATCCAAGAACAGGACCACCCCAGAAGGAGCCATTCAATTAATCCATTCAGGCTTGAAGTGAACCAGTCACAGCCTTTTTCCTAAGGATTTTTCAAACAGATACTGATGAAGAGCTGTCCCATCCCCAGTGCTGGAAGTTGCTGGGAGAGAAGTTGTGAGATACATGCTGGGGATCTTTTAACAGCCATGTCTCCACTCTGGAGAAATCTGGTCTGCACTGAGAGTGCAGTTAACAGAAAAGACAAGAAAGTCCTGGAGACACCTGAGTCCTTGATTCTCTCGGTGTCTGATGCCCAGCTATATCCCTGTCCACATTATGCTCAGAACCAGCATCCATTTCTTAATCAGGGGACAGAATATAATGACCTGTAGCTGAGATCTGCATTTGTTCCTTCCTGCTTGACCAATAAGAATTGCCTTTCTATAGCAGCCACCACATCAAGAATTGACCATCTAGCAGGAAGAGTAGCAGTCAAGGTCCACAAATACCTTGATTTCTATTTTAATAAGGGATCATGTGGACTGTCCTCCTTTCACAAGTCTCCTTATGAAAGGGTGAGGACCAGGACATCCAGTAGTGTGTGTGTGTTAGAGGGGAAGAGGTATACTGATACAGAGGGACCTCTATTTAGATGGGACAAAAGATACTACAGTACCTACCATTGTAAACTATTATAAACTGAGGTCGCCTCCTGAGGCGGCATACTGGTAAAACACTCTGAAGCATTAAATATAAGGAGAGAGGAAATGAGCACCCCAAACCCCCTAAGAGCTCAAATACATGACCTACATCTGCCTGGACCCTCCCCTCTACCCATGGCCTGGGTGTTCTCTAGATCTCATAGAGCCTGCAATTACTTCATCCTACCCTGCCCAAACCCAACAGAAAAGGCCTTCGTTCAACAAGTCCACCAATCTTACTTGAGAAATGAGGTAACTGAGGTCCAAACAAATGAACCTTTATAATCAGAAAGAGACAGAATTAGGTGGTAAGGGTATAGCTCAGTGGGAGGGCACATGCTTAGCGTGCACGAGGTACTGGGTTCAATCCCCAGTACCTCCATTAAATAAATAAACCTAATTACCTCTCCTCCTCAAAAATTTTAAAAAAAATTGTTTTTTTAAAAAAAAAAGAAAGAGACAGAATTAGAGTATCATCTTTTTTCCAAAAGACAATAACTTAGAATGAAAGAATTTAGCTATATGAATATTTAATTCTAAATCACTCATATACAAAGAAGCTTTCTGTAATAACCCTCTAAAAGTTTAAATACCCTGAGGTTTGCCCTTCAAGCAGCATGATAGGAAAATATTTATCTATGTGCTCAAGAGATGTAAATTTGATGAATAAATGATGTTCATTTTGAAACTATTAAAAGCCAGTTTTCTATCATGATTACTTTGCTTTAAATATCAAAATGATGATGAGCCAAATATGCCCCTGGGCCCATTTCTTGATTCTTTCCATGTCTTACAAAGCTTATTTTGAAAAACTGAACAAGATGAGAAATAAGAATCCTGGCTGATCGTCCCAGTGAGCAGGGATATATCTCACAGAACTCCTTTCCAAGCCTGATGAAGTTCCACTACGCCATATTGGCACACAAAGTTGCTAACTGGTAATCTGCAGAAAATAAGCTTCAATTCTGCAAAATGGAAGACAGGAAACAGGCTGGTGTTAACCAACAGGGAAAAGCCCTCGTAGACTTCACTACAGAGAGGAGAGTATCATACATGCAGACTCCTGAGCAAAAGTTCTGTGAATCAGCCAGCACCGTGTGATGGAAGAACCCCAGAAGTGGATTTGTTCTGACCAGTGGAATTCTCCTGGCCATTGCTGTCACAGAGAAGTTTCTAAGTAGTACTGAATAGACACAAAGAAAAGTATATTAGACAGAGGGTAGGCAGGCATTTCTCTAAAGATACACCTCAATTTTAATCACTGGAAACATGCAACAACAGAGAGAGAGAGAGAGAGAAGGATCCCCTAACATATAATCTGATTCCCTTACAAATAATAACTGCTATTTTCATTAATTCACATAGCAAATGGAGAGTAGGAAAAAAATCTTTCCACTGATATCACTGTATAGTTGCTCCTTGAGTCCCCCATCTGTTCCACCTTCTTCTCGAAATAGCCCCCTATTTCCACTTTGGTC